TGTGTCACCTTGGGGTGCTCCTGTCTTGTTTGTAAAGAAGAAAGATGGTTCTATGCATATGTGCATTGATTATCGCCAGTTGAACAAAGTTACAATGAAGAACCGTTATCCCTAGCCTCGCATTGATGATTTGTTTGACCGACTTCAAGGCACACGAGTGTTTTCTAAGATTGACTTACGCTCAGGTTACCATCAGTTAAAGATTTGGGAGCCAGATATCCCAAAGACTGCCTTCAAGACTTGGTATGGTCATTACGAGTTCCTTGTTATGTCATATGGGCTGACCAATGCCCTAGCAGCCTTTATGCATTTAATGTATAGTGTGTTTCTGCCATATCTTGACTCGTTCGTCATTGTTTTTATTGATGATATTCTTGTATACTTCTAGAGTCGGGAAGATCATGAGCAGCACCTAAGGACAATGCTTCAGACTTTGAGGGAAAATAAGTTATATGCAATGTTCTCGAAATGTGAGTTTTGTTTGGATTCTGTGGCTTTATCTAGTCATGTGGTATCGAGTGAGGGTATACGGGTGGATCCAAAGAAAGTGGAGGCAGTGCAGAGTTGGCCCACGCCATCCTCAGCTACAGAGATCCTCAGTTTTTTTGGCTTGGCGGGTTATTAACGTCAATTTATTAAGGGTTTTTCATCTATTGCGGCACTTATGACCAGGATGACCCAGAAGGATGCTCCATTCCAATGGACGGAAGAGTGTGAGGCGAGCTTTGAGAAGCTCAAGACATCTTTGACTACAGCCGCAGTTTTGATATTGCCTACAGGTTCGGGGTCTTATACTATCTATTGTGATGCCTCGAGGATTGGCCTTAGAGCGGTATTGATGCAGGATGATAGGGTGATTGCCTACGCATCCAGATAGTTGAAGGTACATGAGAAGAATTATCATGTCCATGATCTCGAGTTAGCTGCTATTGATCATGCCTTGAAGATCTGGCGTCATTATTTGTACGGTGTTCCTTATGAGATTTAACTGATCATCGGAGCTTGCAACACCTGTTCAAGTAAAAGAATCTTAGTTTGTGCCAGTGGAGGTGGTTAGAGTTGCCGAAGGACTATGATATCACTATTTTGTATCACCCGGGAAGGCCAATGTGGTGGCTGATGCTTTGAGTCGCCGGACAGAGAGTTTGGGGAGTTTGGCTTATTTACCAACAGCGAAGAGGCCCATGGTGATGGATGTTCAGGCCTTAGCCAGCTAGTTTGTGAGATTGGATCATTCGGAGCCCAGTCAGGTTCTAGCTTGCGTGGTTTCTCGGTCTTCATTATTTGATCATATCAGGGAGCGTCAGTTTGATGACCCTCATTTGCTTGTCCTCAAGTACAAGGTTCTGTACGGTGATTTCAGAGATGTTACTATTGGAGATGACGAGGTATTGAGGATGCAGGGTCGGATTTGTGTACCTAATGTTGATGGGCTTCGGGAGTTAATTATAAAAGAGGTACATAGTTCGTGGTATTCCATTCATCCGGGTGACACAAAGATGTATCATGATTTGAGACAACATTATTGGTGGAGGCGGATGAAGAAAGATATAGTTGGATTTGTAGCTCGCTGCCTCAATTGTCAGCAGGTGAAGTATGAGCACCAGAGATTGTGTGGGTTGCTTCAGCAGATAGAGATTTCTGGAGTGGAAGTGGGATAGGATCAACATGGACTTTGTAGTTGGACTCCCATGGACTTTGAAGAAGTTCGATGCCATTTGGGTGATTGTGGATCGGCTGACCAAGTCCGCGCACTTCATTCCTATGTGTACTACTTATTCGTCGGAGCGGTTAGCGGAGATTTGTATCCGGGAGATTGTTCGTCTGTATGGTATTCTAGTTTCTATCATTTCAGACAGAGGTACTTAGTTCACATTGGGATCAGCTCTTTCCACTAGCGGAGTTTGCTTACAACAACAGCTATCAGTCCAGCATTCAGATGGCACCGTATGAGGCTTTATATGGTAGGCAGTGTAGATCCCCGGTGGGTTGGTTTGAGCCGGGTAAGGCCAGATTATTGGGCACAGACTTGGTTCAGATGCTTTGGAGAAGGTTAAGGTGATTACATTGGTTCCATTAGATCCGTTGGGTGATTTCGGGCTTAGATGCGTGTTCGGATTGTGTTTTGAAGGCTCGTAGCTTATTTAGGCTTGAAATGCCGAAAGTTGAATTTTTGGAAGTTTCCGGTTCGATAGTGAGATTTTGATATTGGGGTCGGAATGGAATTATGGAAGTTGGAGTAGCTCCGTAGTGTTGAATGTGACGTGTGTGCAAAATTTCAGGTCACTCGGAGGAGGTATGATAGACTTTTTGATCGAAAGAGTATTTTGAGAGTTTTTGAAGTACTTAGGCTTGAATCAGATACTAATTAGTTGATTCGATGTTGTTTGAGGTGTTTAGAGATTTGAATAAGTTTGGATAGTGGTATATGACTTGTCTATGCTTTTTGTTGAGGTCCCAGGGGCCTCGGGTCGATTTCGGGTGGTTAACGGAAAGTTGGAAATTTGGAGTTTGCAGCTGAAGTTCTTTGGGCTGCTGTCATGAGAGGCCGCAGATGCGGAATTAAGCCGCAAAAGCGGCCAGATGAGGAAAGGCAAGGAGTCGTAGGTGCGTATGAGTTTACGCACCTGCGTGAATGCAGATGCGGTAAGCAGGTCGCAGGTGCGGACTTGGTGAATTAATTAGTTTTTGCAGGTGCGGTCGTTCTTCCGCAAAAGCGGAATTTCTTGGCAGAAAATAGGAATTTTGAGGGTTTAGTTTCAGAAGTTGGAAAAATTGATTTGGAGCTCGGGAGAGGGCGATTCTGTGGGGTTTTTGAAGAGAATATCATTGGGTAACAATTCCTTATTCTTTTCTAGTTGTATTCCATTAATCTATTGTTAGTTTTATCATTTACTTTCGGATTGGAGATGAAAATTGGGGAAACATTGGAAGAAAGTTCTTAGACCTAAAATTTGAATTTTGATTGGAAATTTGAAATTGGATTTGAATAATTTTGATATAAATGAACTCGTGAGAGTATGAGGATTCTGAAAATATAAATTTTATCCGATTCCAAGACGTGGGCTCGAGGGGCATTTTGGTCATTTTAACTAATTTCGCGTATTAGCTTAGAATTTATTTGTAGAATCCGTTACTTGAAGTGTTATTTACATTATGCAATTGAATTACATAGATTTGGGTCATTTGGAGTCGAGTACTCGTGGCAAGAGCGTGGTTTTGGGTGAAGTTTGAGCTGGTTCGAAGTAAGTTGCTTGCCTAACCTTGTGTGGGGGAAACTCCCCTTAGGATTTGGTACTTGTGCTAATTGTTGAAAATCCAGTTTTTCTTAAGAAATTTTAATTGTGTTTTTCCTTCTTGTTAATTCTACTTGCAATTTAAGCCTGCTGTTAGCTTAGGGAATCATGTCTAATTGTCTTAATTGTTTTATTTGCTCAAACGGCCTTATTTGGTCTATGCGAAGCATGCTAGGTTAGAAATACCTATTTTACCTTGGTGTGAAATTGAATTTAGTTGAGTATTCTTCATGTTGTTGCTGCGTGATTACATTGGGACTACGGGACGGTATCCCGGGAGATCCATGTGAGCACGAGATTTTTGCCCTATGTGAAAACTCCTATAAATTAAAAAAAATAGATTTTTTTCCAATTGTTTGCAATTTTATAGGCTTTTTGCAGGTATTTGTGTTAAATTGTTTGCATTTCTGTGCATGTTTACTTTTATTAAAATCATGAAAAATACCATACATTGCATTTAGATATTGTGTTTACATTTTAGGATTATTTAATTAATTAGTTGCTTTATTAAAAATAAATATCACAAAAATGGCTCACTTTTTACCTTCTAAGCTTTTAAATTTTGGATTATTAATCTTTCTCTTTTAATTTAAGATGAATTAATTTTTATAAATTTTATAGTTATAGAATTAGCTTGATTTTACGATTTAATTAAAATTAGGAATTTAATTTAGGTTCTTATTTAATTAAAAAAAAGAAAAAAAAAACAAAAGGGAGAGGGAAATAGAAAAGGATGGTCTTTAAATTAAAATTGGGCCAATTTGATGTTAAGCCCAGATTCCACCCCAAATCCACCCCTTACCCAGCCCCTCACCCTAGATTAACGAATGGAATTCAACTAGTTTGTTACTATTGGTAGTGATTTGCAGTCGCTATTTGATTATCTATAGTTTGAATTCTAAAAATGGCCTTTTCTATAGCTGGAAACAAGTCTGGCTAGTTTCTTGTACTGATTTCTTTCTTTGCTGACTGATAATCACATTTGAGAACTCTCCCTTTTCGACCTAAATTTGTCGATGTCTTTAGTCGAGTTTCTGATTAATTTGTCTCTGCATTATGTCTTCTGGATTAGTGCTGATTTTTGTCATAAAATGTCTACATGTTAGTATCAATTGTGAAATTATTTTAACTCATTAAAATCATTTTGGTTATTGTGCATAATGTCGAGATTCTTCCATCCTTTGATTCTGACGTTTGGATTCATATTTTTGTTGTGAATCTTCATCTGATTGTTGAATATCGATGGCTGTTGAAAGCAGACATTGCCTTTAATCATTTGAAGCATGGGGGTGTATAGGAAACTTCACTTGTATCTTCAGAACTTGTTTCCTTCTCGAATGGAATAGACTAATTGCTTGAAGATCGACACATCGTTGTCAGAGTCCATGACCATTTTAAGCTTCAGATGCTTCATTTCATAGATTTTTATACTTATAAGAGTTTACTCGCTTATTTGGTTGCCAGTTTTTAAAAAGTCTTGATTTGTTTGGCTGAGCGTGAAAGTGTAGATCTCTAATCCTAGTCACTTTGTGTTGAATCTGCTCTAATCCATGAAAAGTATTTCAGTAGACAAACTGCATATTTTGGTGCATTTTTTTGTTCCTTCTGCTGGTTTAAGCATATCAATGAATGTTTGAAAGGTTCATCTCATCCCACGTTAAGCATTTAGGGCAGAAGTTGATATAGTTGAGCACAGTTACCATATTAATCCATGAACACAAAGAAAGAAGTGGGAGGGCGTTTTGGCGTATTTGGTTTCTTTGCTTTCTTTGCCCTCTTAGCTTTTGGTTCAGTCGATTTCTCCTTATTCTTTGCCGCTGGTTTCTTTGTTTCACTTGCATTTTCCCAACCCGAGCCTCCAAATTCATTTTGATTTTAGCATCAAGGCTAAAACTGTGGAAATTAATCAATGCTATGGGTACATTCTTCACAACGAGCAAAGGCGTTGCCATCTTTAGCACATTTAAGACTAGCAGCAGTAGCATATTCGACTTCTACCGTCTTTCTTACTCTAGTTGGACCATTTGAAGACTTTGATGCTCCGCCACCAATCATTCTTTACGAGTTTTTTTTTTTGAAATCTTTACTGAGAGTTTCAGATAATTGAAGAGGAAAATAGAAGCGGAATTTTGAGTCAGAATTAGACATTATGAGATAACAAAAAATTTGGATTTTTTTAAAAAATGATTCAGTTGCTTTTATTAATTTTTTTACTTATGCTAGGGGTATGCTTAGGCCCTTAAGAACCTTGAACATTGTAGTTTGCTTTAGGCACTTAATTAAATCGTTATAACTACGGGTATGGTTCTCATGACATAGTTGTGACACTTAATTTTAAATTAGTTTTAAATATGAATATTCGTAGTTCACATAGTTGAATGATTTTCTCAAATTTGAGGTGTTCCATACAATCACCTAGTCTCTGGCTCTCACATCGATATCTTAATTAGTGTAGAAAATACCTTAAAATCTCGTAGTTTGCTTTAAGCGCATTAATTAAATAAATTATCGTAGCTACGGGTATAGTTCCCGTGACGTGGTCGTGACGCTTAATTTCTAAAATCTGGGGTATATTTATGTGACCCGGCCACAATTTAATCTTGTTAATAAAATAAACATGTTTTGGATCATGAGTACGATTCCCGTGACATGATTCGCAATATTAATCAAATAATTACTTGTATAACAATCGGATTATTAAAAGCAGCTTTTTATTAAATGGGAATAAAAATGCACATATGTTTCATGAATTTTTTAAAATCAAATAAATAGGCCAATATTAACAGTTGAGCGACCGTGCTAAAACCACGAAACCCGAAAATACCTAACACCTTCTCCCGGGTTAACAGAATTCCTTACCCGGATTTCTGTGTTTCGCGGACTGTAAAACATAGTCAAACTTCCTTGATTCAGGATTAAGACCGGTGACTTGAGACACCATAAATTATTCCAAGTAGCAACTCTGATTTATAAATAAAATAATCCCATTTCGATTGTCACTTAAAATGGAAAAAATACCCTTATACGCCCTTCCGGAGGTAGGAAAAGAAGGTGTGACAGTTCTGGCGACTCTGCTGGGGATAAGAACTTAAAATCTCTGGTTCAGGATTCGAGAATTTGAGCTTAGAATAATTGTTATATTTGGATTTATTTATTATCTGATTTTATTTACAGGTTTGGGCCTTATGTGCTAAATGTTGCTTTTTACCGCTTTGATCTGTACATAAACTGCTATGAAACCCTTCTCTTCTCATCTTTGGGGAAGTGCACGCTGGCGTGACTTCTTTCCTGTTAGTTTCATACCTTAAATTAGAAAGAGGCTCGGACAAGTTACAAAGCCGGATGGCCTTTTGGTTCCCGGNAACTCAGCCATATGCCGGATCCCCAGTAGGCACGCTTGTTTGCATCATGTGCATCTGATATTGGGGACTCAACACAGGGGTTGAGTCCGTCTAGAACAGGCGTACCCGAAAATAAAAGACCAGCATGATGTATTTTTTATGTGTTACCTGTGCATTTAATTTGTTTCAGATTGCATGTTGACCGGCTTCTAGATTAAGTGAGGAAAACCAAAAGAAGAACCAAGTGCGGGGTATGAGAGAGAACTTTATCCGTTGCCCAAAATCTGGTACACAAAACATCCTAAAACTCTGCCGAAAATATTTGAGAAGAAGAGAGAAATAAAGTAGAAAAGTCATTTCAAAGTGTTTATATTTCTCAGTTGCGTCAAAACTGGCCGAACTATGAGGCTTTGATTCTCATATAGTGTGGGATGCGTAAGCAACCCTCATCAGGTCGAGCCCCATTTTTTTGAAATTTTTTAAATATATATGAAGCGACGTCATTTTGTCGTAAATAAAGTGGGTGTTGTCGTTCTTGTCTAAATAGCTGAATGTCCCAACGGGACGCCGGAAGGCTGTTTTTCCAAGAATAGCCGTTGATTGTGTTTTTGTCAATTTAGGCTATTTAGGAAACACATACCTAAAAACTTCCATTTCAAAGTGCTAAAGGGCCGTATTCGCAAAAGTAGCCCTGATTTCTTGATTTTTGCAAAAGATAACCCATTTTGTCAGTTTTTCAAATAAGATTCACTTTGTCTTTAAACCAATCACCCTAATATAAATGTGCAGAATGAGCACGAGTCAAAATTTGCCAATAAAGGTCATGACCAAGATTCTATTGGAACTACACATGTGGTGGGAAGATTTAGGTGGGCAAGGACGAGATACGATCAACCATTACTTGG